CAGGGAAAAGAACCTCCTCCTCCTGTCTTTCCTACCTCCCACCCCTCCCCCACCAACACTGCCTCCCTGCTGTGCAAAGAGCCCTTTGTCCTGCCCCACACTTATCTAGCTGTTTGGCCATATTGACAAGCCAACTAAAGGCATAATAAGGGAGTCAGTATGACATAAGCAGCTGGCAATTTGAAACAAAAATCTTCCTTTCTACTCAAACCAAATCCTGATGCAGAGGTCTCAGGCTCCTCCCATGTTTCCATCTTTTTTAAAACAGAGCAGCTAGGAATTTGGCATTTTCCCTCAATTAGGTAGCACAACAAAAACTTGATTTCCCAGATAGAAACAAATTCTGTATAAATTCCTATGTCCTTTGCTTTTTGTGTGTGATTCATAACATAGGTCAAGGAGTATTCCCAGCTCTGGGTGTATATACATAACTAACATGACTAAGAAAATGATTCTTATTACTTTAGTTTGCCACCAAAACTCTGAGAATTCTTATGCTATGAAGAAAGGAAGAGCACAGAAGAGAAAGCAGTCAGACCAAACCAACAGTCGAATGCATGAGGCAAACCTGGCCAAATAACCTTAGTTTTTTAAAAAATACTAAGATCTCATTCCAATAAGCAGAAAATTCCTTTCCCCTGTCTTTATATCAAAGATAGTTAATGTGATCCCTGAGGTATTCAGCAAACAAAATCAATATGGTGCAAAAACTGAGAGGCAGGATGGGATTACAAATTCCTTGCTCAGTGAGGGTTAGTATAAAGTAGACTGAGATTTAGCTTCATTGTTCCTTTGTTATATTTCAAATTTGCTTCATAAAGTGTTAAAGAGTCAGAATATATTTAGTCAGAATAAAAGAATTCTCTAAAGTGATGTTTTCTAACAGCTTCTCCCTCCCCCAAGCTACTGGGTATCTTTTACTCGATTTAGACAAATACAAAACAGGATACTTTTCATAAGACTCTGGTTTAACAAAATATGTATTGATAAGTGAAAGAAATTATATTCTCTCATCTTTCATGAACTTCCCCAAATCTTTACAAGGTAAATCAATCACTGAATCAAATGAAAGGTTAAAAATGCCATTTTACCACGTATTTTTGAAATTTTAGCTGTAAAAAAATGGTACCAATTACTGTCTATCATACTTTTTAAGCCCATAAAAGGATGTTTTAAATCAAGTTACAAATAGCAATCACTTGTATTAAAATACACATTATCTCACACATTTTGCAGTTAGAATAAGTTTTGTCTTAAAATATTCCTATCAAGCTTTAGTTTCCAATACCTGGAAAATTTTTTATAAACAAAATTCACTGCGAGGCCTTTTAGTTTCAAATTAAACTGACAAATCATCAGAGTGGAATTAGAAGTTATAAGAAAATTATATTCTATTTATGATCCAATTTCTCATTGATATGTACCTAATAACCACGGACTATCCTTAACTATGGCCTAATGTTTCATAAGTTATTTCAATACGAAGAGGACAAAATAAAAGTGGTTGTCTGCACATCTGCATTTTGCCCTATGTTATTTTCCTATCCAAAGGCAAAAGTAAATAACCAGTCACCCCCAGAAAGGCCAGAATAACTTCAGAAAGCATGTAAGTTCCTGGACACAAAACAGTATCAGAAGATACAAAAATTTTCAAGCATATTGATTAAATACATCCTATGAAAAAGGCCTCTATGATCTTTCAGAAAATAATCACATCAAGATCACGATGGATTCCAAACAACAAGTGAAAAAAGTGATTATTTTATAAGGTAATATCAACATATAACTTAAGCTAAAAAACATACCTAAAATGTTAAATAACCACTATGAGTGAAACCATACTTATCTGATATGGCATCTTTTATATATGATAGTGATAACATTAAAACCACCTAAAAATATTATCCATGAAAAGTTCCGTTTCATTAGTCAGTGTATATCACTGAGACAACACAAGCCACATTTGTGAATGACACAACTCATTTCCGTTCTTTTAGTTCCCTGCCACAAATGCCACAGTCATGTTATACATTATAGATTTAAGTACATTTACACAAAGCTAAACATACAAAATTCTGAGGGGAAAAAATATAGCATGCAAGCACCTTGTGGGGTGGGAAAGAGACAACCCATCTGTTAAGAAGTGTATAAAAATGGTGGTATATTTGAATGGTGCCTCTCCAAGTACTTCCATACTCAATAAACTATTCTGTTTAATCAAAGATTTTCCTAATGTGCAGGAGCTGTGGGGGAGGGGAAACCACATAAGAGGCCATCTTCTCAAGTATCCTGTACACTATTTATTCGATTTCTGAATATTCCTTCTGGTCTGTCCTATGTCTCAGATGGATCATGGCCAAACATACATCTTTGTGGTCTTAGAAGACTACCTCCAATACGCATGTAATGAATTCATTTTATAGGTCAAACTCCAAAGAAATAATTCAATTTGCAGAAGTCTATTACTGATACAGAAATTAAGAAAATACTTCAAAGATTTATATTTACAAGTCATTTTGAAAAGGGCGCTTCTTTTTAGAGTTTAAGATTACAAATTTAGTAAAATGTTTATCAAAACATCTATTCAATAAGGTAAATATGGCCTAACAAATGAAAGAAAGGAGACACACAAAATATGAAATCGATTGAAATGTTAAAACTAATGAAACTTTCAGTCCTATTCAAGCACAAATCTACAGATAAAAACCAAAAATCTGCCAAAAACCCCCAAGAAACAAACAAAAAAGAAAAACTCTAACTATGATCCAGTTTCGAGATGTTGCTAATATCCATAAATGGGTAGAAGGTTATGAATTCTCATCTCCCCACCAATAAAATGCAAACCAGCTCAGCAATGAAAATTCCCAGGAAAGCAAGGTTTCTTCTTAGTCCTGAAGCAGCTATTGCCTAAGTGGAGCTCCCTGCAGCCAACAGCATTAATGGAGGCTGCACTGCTGTCCTTCCCTGGAGACGGCAGCCAGCACTACTCAAGCTTCTCACGTAGCAACCAGAGTTCCAGAGCCAGCAGCTGCTGCTGCCTTGTATACTCAGTCCTGTGATCCAACCCAAAGAACAACCTTTTTCTTACCCCACCCCCATCCCTTACACACTTTATTTTGGACCAATGTTCCATGCCAGAAGAGCTGGAATTATGCTTTGAGAAAGAAACACCCTAAATCCTTTTAGTTTTAAACTAAGGGCCTTTTATTAGAAAAACCACTATTTACCAAATTCCAGATATCCATTTTAATTAAGCCAGCAATTTAGGAGTGAAGATTAAGCTTTAGTCTTTAAAAGGCCAATTTTCCAAGGACTCTCTTTACAGTCAAATTTAAATTTGCAGCTAGAGATAGAGACTTGTGTCATGCCCCACCAAAGGACATAATTCATTTCTGAATCTTCATGACAGTCTGAGTAAACCTTAAAAACTCTAATCCCATAACTGACCAGAATTTTTGGCTATAGAAGAAAACAGATGATCCTCCTGAGAAAACTGGAAGAAATCCAATAAAAAAAATTTCCTGTGTTCTTCAAGAGGCCCAGAATATGTGAATATTCTTTGCCTTAGTCCTAGCTCAGATTCCACACATCTAAAATTACAACTTATAACTTTTTTTTCCCTGAGTGATCTAAAAGCATTAGTGATATAAAATTAACCACCAAGAAATTTTCCCAAATAGGGGGTACACAAACATTCTCCCGAAAAGCTCATAAATGCTCAACTCAACTGGATCCTCCCCAACCAAAAGTTTTTTGTTGGATCTGCCCAACAACAACAAAAAAAATCTAAGTATGGTCTTGGTTACAAGTCATTTATAAGCAACTCCTTTAGTCAAATGATGAAAAGACATTAGCAGAGAACCTGGGGATTCTTTCAGTACTATGAGCAAGGGAGGAAAAGGGAGAAATGAACTAAAATAGAGACAAAGCTCAATGGAACCCGGAGATCTGGGCACGAAACGAGTTACTGGTGAACACATTGCACAAGTAACATGAGAAAGCAGAAAATGCAGGTCATACATGCACCCCTGACCCAGACCAGCAGGGCTGGCTGCAGCATCCGTATCCAAGGGAAAGACCAGTTATTCCTAACAAGTGAGACGCAAAAGAGCTCCATAGAATACATTAGCACGGAGGGGGCTTTCCCAACAGCTAAACTTTCCCTCTCACGCGATTCACCTACTTAAAAATCAGGGCTTTTTTTCCCCTCACCGTCATTCCCTTCGCATCCCTTAGCTCCCACGCAGGGGGAATGGGGATTCATCAAGGGTACATTTTTCTGCCTTTAAAGACCTTCTCAAAGGATCGCTCTCCACGCCCAAGGCTGGGAGAACGACACAGCCTGGCTCAACTCCAAGCTCAAACCCGACCGATTCAAGAATAGGACTCTCTCGGAGATACTGGGGCAGAAGCCACCGAGAACCCCAAAATGTGAGGTGGGGCTGGCGAAGGCAATGCCGTTGGTGTGGGAAAGGAAGCAATCATCTGGGATGGGGACCCGAGGACGAGGGGAAAGGCGTCCAGGAACGTGATGAAGAGACACAGGCCCCCAGAACCATCAGAGTTGTCACCAGGCCGCGCGAACCGGGGTGGTTGGGGCGGGGGTTTGGGGAGGGGGGAAAAGTATGCCTGTGTATGTTAAGAGGACAGCGAGAGGCCTAGCCTCAAGTCAAAGGTAAACGTGGACTAGGCAGTTCCCAGGAAAAGGGGTGAAGAGACGTGGGGGGAGGGGAAGCGTCCTGACCCAGGAAAGACATGAAAAGGGTAGTGGGGTCGACTGGATGACGAAGGGGACCTCTCTCCCCGGGGAAGAGGAATGCGATGGTGTCCAGGGGGGTGGCGAGGGGGGTGAGAAGGGGCAGCATCCTCCTGCTAAGAGCCTGGGAGGGCCAGGCCCAAGTCCCGAAAGCGAGCGCGGGGAGACGGAGGAGGTGACCCTTCCCTCCCCCCGGGGCCCGGTGTGAGGGAGGGTAGGTCCCTCTTTTCTGTCGGACCCTTACCTTGTCCCAGGCGCTGCCGGGGCCTGGGCCCGGGCTGCGGCGCTCGGCACTCCCGGGAGGCAGGAGGACTCGAGTTAGGCCCAACGCGGCGCCACGGCGTTTCCTGGCCGGGAATGGCCCTTGCCCGTGAGGTGGGGGTGGGGGCAGAAAGGCGGAGCGAGCAAAGGCGGGTGGGGGAAGGGCCAAAGGAAGGGGGGGCGGCACTACAATGTTGGCGGACTGGCGGGACTGGGGCTGCGTGAGTCTCTGAGCGCAAGCGGGCGGCGGCCGCCCCTCCCCCGGCGGCTGCGGCGGCGGCGGCGGCGGCGGCAGCAGCAGCTCACTCAGCCGCTGCCCGAGCGGAAACGCCACTGACCGCACGGGGATTACCAGCGCCGGCGCCAGGGGCACTTGGGACACGCCCCCTCCCGCCGCGCCATTGGCCTCTCCGCCCACCGCCCCACACCCATTGGCCAACTTGTTGCCAATCAGCGGAAGCCGCCGGGGCAGCCTAGAGAAGAGGCTGTGCTCTGGGGCTCCGGCTCCTCAGAGAGCCTCGGCTAGGTAGGGGAGCGGGACTCTGGCGGGAGGGAGGCTGGTGGACACGGTGGGGGAAACGGGTGGCTACGTGGGTCTGACTGGTACTTGGGGGTTGCCTTTTCCCGCGGGAACTCGGGCGTATAATGTTTGTTACGCTGGAAGGAAAAGAGGTGAGAGGCTGGCAGGAATGCGGCCCGCCCGGCGGCCACTGGAGGGGGAGGGAGAAGTGGAAAAGGCTCAAATCCGGACGGAGCCATTGCTACTGCAAAGGGAGGAGCGCTCTCGGCTCAGCTCTTGTCACTGATTGGTCGCCGCGTCTCCCGCCGCGTGTGAAAACAAATGGCGTGTTCTGGTTGGAGTAAAGGGTCTGTCAGTTACAGGCTCGGGAGTGCGCAGCCGCCTAGGGAGTCTCGCATTGCTCTCTGGGTTGGGTGGGTGGGTAGGTAGGTGGGGAGAGTTGGACCTACCGGCGCGGTCGGCCTCCCGTGGGGTGTGTGCAGGGGGCGGGGAGGAGGGTCAGTGAAAGTGGCTCCTGCGCGGGCGTCCCGCCACCCTCCCCTTCGGGGGAGTCGGTTTACCCGCCGCCTGCCTGGTCTCCACATCTGATTGGTTGCTGCATCCGGAGAATGGCCCCTTACTATTGGCTCAGGTCCCAACTGAGCGAAACCACTGCGCGGGTTCGGTGGGGGTGGCGGTCGTTGGTACGTTCCTCGCGCGGCCCAGCGCCGCAGTGTCTGGCTCCGCGCCCCTGCGCAACGTGGCAGGAAGCGCGCGCTGGAGGAGGGGGCGGGTTGCCCGGCGGAGGCTTCTGGGTGGCGGCTGCCTCGGCTCCGCCCCGGGTACCCGCCGCCTAAAACGCTCTACGAGCCCGATCTGCCCCCGGACTGTGGGAGTGAGGAAAGGAGCGGGAGTCGGTCCTGCTGGTTTGTGGATGGGAGGGGCATGTTCTCCCAAAATCGGCACGAGGTGCTACCCTGAAGGAGCGGCAGTGGAGGCGGAGAGAAGGCCGCGCCCTTCCAGACAGGGGAGGGGAGTGCCGCACTACCTTTATGGGAGTTCTCTGTTGTCTCCGGTTTAAGGACCGCCCTGGGCCTGGAAGAATCGCTCCCTCCCCCACGATCTCGTCATCGCCTCCATGTCGAGGCTCCTAGAATCTAGATTATGGGCGGAATTCCTTTGCCCAGGTTTAACCTGGTGCCGGGGCGTTGTCCTGCAGGGCTTTGAGCAGGTGTCAGATTTTGAGGGTGAGCGAATTTCTGTCTTCCCCCAGAAGGGGGGGCGGCACAAAGTAATTTGTGTCACAAAGTAATTATGGAAGACGTGTAGGAGGGAAATGGAGTCCAGGCATTCACCTGGGACTGGTTTTTACAGCAAGACTGCGTGTTATTACTACTTAAAATCCTTTTTGTAGCTTTTTCCTGGGGATAAAGTGAGAGACCAAAGGCAGACTTAGTTTTATAGTCACCCCATTAGAAACCCTTACTAAACCTTAAAATTTTATCTCAAAATTTTAGACCCCCTTCCTTGAATCTCCAGGATCAGGCACCTTAGCAGCTCTCACTCATATTTTGAGCCCATTTTCTGTTTGTTGTACTTGCTCATCCAGTCTCCAGACATACCATTGGCTTTCTCCTCTCCTGTTTTGGTATGGGTGAGTCATGAAACCAGACAGATTGGTTCCAACACCAATTAAGGCCACCCAACCTGAGCAGAGGCCTCACTCTTTCCTCAGCTGGGATTCTCCCCCTACCCTCTCAGTACAGGTGACCTTGACTACTGCTTCACTGAGAATTAGACATGAGTTTCAGCAACATACCCTTTTTTATCTCCTTTGAATAACTTTTCAGTCCATCCCATGATTTCTGTTCTCATCGGTTTGTTACTGAGTTCATTTGCTATAAACCAGTTGGCTCTGCCTCCTGTTACCTCTTCTGATCCATCTTACATGTTGCCAGGACAATTGTTCTAACATAGCAGGAGCCTCCAAATGACTGATACAACTCCTTCACTGGCTCCTAACTACTTACAGGATGAATTCCATCATCACTGATCTACAAGGTCCCTCAATGGGCTAATTTCTGTTCTTAACAGCCTTTTCATTTGCTGCAATTTTTCACATCACACCAACAGTACCTCTCTGTTCAAGTCACACTGAATTGATTACTGTTTACCCAAATCATAGTTACATAGTCATACCATTTTGTAGGGTCCTGTCTGCCTGAATGCTAACTTTGATGGTCTTTACCCTTCAAGACTTAAGACTCAGGTATCATCATCTCCCCTGTGATCTTGCCTTCTCTGATCTATCGTTCTAATAGCCAGACTCCCTATAAAAAAAATAGCAGTGCTTTCTCCTGATCCCATAACAAGCATGTTGAATCATAGCACTTCTCAGGTTGTTGTCATTGCTTGTTTGAATTCTCTTAACTATTCTGAGCACAGGCTCTTGTTGAGTCTTGTAGTAACACTAAGCTTCTAGTATATTCCTTGATGTGTAGCCAATCCTAAGTAAAATAGAATGACATGTAGATGTCTTTGTACAGTTTGATAGATTATTGTGGTCTCTTAAACAGTTCTTTGTGTGCTTGCTAGTGTTCTAGATTAACACTATCCAGTAGAACCTTCTGCAATTATGGAAATGTTCTCTATCTGAGCTGACCAATGTGGTAACCACTAACCATATATTAATACTGAGCACTGAAAATGTGGCTAATGTGACTAAAGAACTGAATTTTTAATTTTATGTAATTTAAATTGTATGGGCAGTGTAGTTATAGCCACAAACTTGTGGATTGCAAGATACTTAATATGGATGTTGATAACTTTCTCTTCATGCTGAGCAGTAAGGAAATAAAGTTGGACTTCTGTGGCTTATTTAGGAGTTTTCCCCCGGCTTGTTTTATTTTACCTGTTTCTGTTCTTCAGCTGAACCTAGCTGTGAGCTAAATCCAACAAGCCCTTACTAAAAATAAGTCTTCCTTGGACAACAGTGTGTTGAGAAAACAAGTAGTGACTAGTTTGTATTTCAAACGAGAATGCATAATGAATTTTAGGAAAGTGGGATTTCATGAAACCATAATGGTAATAAGACTTTGTATGATGTTAATGAACACCAGCCTTAAAGTTCAGTCCTCCAAGTTTTCATTTTTGGAAAAACTTCCATCAGATGAGGCCCTAAGTATCATTTTTTTTTTCTTTAATATATTTTTTTATTGATTAAGATATTACATATGTGTCCTTATCCCCACGTTCCCCCCTACCCCCCACCTCATGCCTTCACACCCCCCCGCCCCCCCGTTGTCCGTGTCCATTGGTTAGGCCTATATGCTTGCATATAAGTCCTTTGGTTGATCTTTCCCCCTTACCTCCACCTTCCCTTACCTTCCCTCCAAGGCCCGACAGTCCAATCAATGCCTCTCCGTCTCTGGATCAGTCCTTGTTCATCAGTTTATGTTGTTCATTATATTCCACAAATGAGTGAGATCATGTGGTATTTATCCTTCTCCGACTGGCTTATTTCACTTAGCATAATGCTCTCCAGTTCCATCCATGCTGTGGCAAATGGTAAGAGTTCCTTTTTCTTCTTCCTCTTCTTAAAGAATACCTTTCAGCATGTCATATAATGCTGGTTTGGTGGTGATGAACTCCTTTAGCTTTTTCTTATCTGTGAAGCTCTTTATCTGACCTTCAATTCTGAATGATAGCTTTGCTGGATAAAGTAATCTTGGTTGTAGGTTCTTGCTATTCATCACTTTGAATATTTCTTACCACTCTCTTCTGGCCTGCATGGTTTCTGTTGAGAAATCAGCTGACAGTCGTATGGGTACTCCCTTGTAGGTAACTGACTGTCTTTCTCTTGCTGCTTTTAAGATTCTCTCTTTGTCTTTTGCTCTTGGCATTTTAATTATGATGTGTCTTGGTGTGGTCCTCTTTGGATTACTTTTGTTTTGGGTTCTCTGCGCTTCCTGGACTTGTAAGTCTATTTCTTTCACCAGGTAGGGGAAGTTTTCTGTCATCATTTCTTCAAATAGGTTTTCAATATCTTGGCCCTCTCTCTTCTGGCACCCCTATAATTCTGATATTGGTGCCCTTGAAGTTGTCCCAGAGGCTCCTTACACTATCTTCATATCTTTGGTTTCTTTTTTCTTTTTCGGTTGGGTCTTTTTTGTTTCTTCGTATTTCAAATCTTTGACTTGATTCTTGGGATCCTCTTGTCTGCTGTTGGATCTCTGTATATTATTCTTTATTTCAGTCAGTGTATGCTTAATTTCTAGTTGGTCTTTTTTCATATCCTCCAGGGTCTCACTAAATTTATCAGCGGTTTCCATAAAATTCTTGAAAAACCTTATAAACGTGGTTTTGAACTCTATATCCAGTCGTTTGCTTTCCTCCATTTCTGTCATTTGTGACCTGTTTCTTTGTCTCCACATTTTTTATGCTTCCCTGTGTTGGTAGAGTGGTTTTGTGTGCTAGGTGTCCTATAGGGCCCAGTGGCTCAGCCTCCCCAGTTACCTGAGGTAGACACACTTGGTGCACCCCCTTGTGGGCTTTGTGCACAGTCTTGTTGTAGTTATGCCTTGATTGTTGTTGGTATCACTAGGAGGAATTGACTTCCAGGCCAATTGGCTGTGAGAATCAGCTCTGTTTGCAGTGGGAGAACTTCTGTGTTGGAGACACCCCTCCGGGGCAAGACTTGCTTCAGTGGGGCTTTGGTGTTCACTGAGTCTGCCCCCTGAGTGCGTCCCTTATGGATCTGAGGAGTTGTAATCTGGATGGTCTCACTCTGACCACTGGGTACACTGGCTCTTGGATCTAAGGAGGTGCTAATTTAGCCTCTTCCTTAGGTTACCCAGCAGGAGCTATGAAGAGATCTGCAGATTCCCCTTCCTTTTTTGGAGTTTGGAGGTGCCCAGATGGGGCCCAGCTGTGAAGCAATGTAAGCTGCTGTGGGGCCTTGGGACTTCTCTTGGAAGTTCTGGGTCTGTCTGGCCAGGCTGCAATTTGTTAGGTAATTTTCAGGTTGC